GCAAAACATTTCCCCAAACCCCCAGGTTACCCGGGGGGCCCAAACCCTTTTACTCCCAAAAACCGGGGTTTAATCCTGGGGGGCAAACCCCTTTCCTCCCGGGGGTTTAAACCCTTTGGGTGGCTAAAAACTCCCCTCCCCAGGTTTTTCCCTGGGGGCCCAAAAACCCTCCATACCCCGGGGTTATCCTGGGGGCTAACACTTCCAAACCCGGGGGGGTTTATCCGGGGTGGCTAACACTCCCTACCCCTGGTTATCCGGGTGGCTAACATCCCTTTTCCCCGGGGTTTACCCTTTGGGTGGCTAACACTCCCCCCCCGGGATTTTAACCGGGGTTTGGCTAACACCCCTTTTCCCCGGGTTATCCGGGGTGGCTAGCACTCCCCTACCCCCGGGTTACCCTGGGGGCAAACCCTCCCTACCCCAGGTTTTTCCTGGGGGGTTAAAAACCCCCCCCCTACCCCAGGTTATCCGGGGTGCTAACACTCCCCTCCCCCGGGTTTAAATCCTAGTGGAAAACCCCCAAAAACCCCGGGTTATCCTGGGGGGGCTAACCCCCCCCTACCCCGGGTAAACGTGGGGTTTGGTTAACCCTCCCTACCCCGGGTAATCCTTGGGGGTTTGCCCCACCTACCCCGGAAAACCTGGGGGGTTAACCCCCCCCAAAACCCCAGGTTACCTGGGGGGGGTTTAAACCCCCTCCCACCCCGGTTTATCCGGGGGGTTAACCCCCCTACCCCGGTAATTTTTGGGTTTGGTTTTAACCCCTCCCAACCCCAGGTTTCCGGGGTGCAAACCCCCTCCCTCCCCCCCGGGTTACCCGGGGGGGTTTTTTTAAACCCCCCTCCCCTCCCCCAAATTACCCCGGGGGGCCCTAACCCTCCCAAACTAATCCAGGTTATCCTGGGTGTTAACCCTCCCTACCCCCGGGGTTATCCTGGGTGGAAACCCCCCCCTTCCCCGGGGAAAAACCTGGGGGGGGTTATCCCTCCCTACCCCGGGTTTAAACGTGGGTGGCAAAACCCTCCCTCCCCCGGTTTATCCGGGGGGGCCCCTAGCCCTCTTTTTAACCCCCCGGGATATCCTGGGGGGTTTTAACCCTCCCTACCCCAGGTTATCCTGGGGGCTAACCCCCTCCCTACCCCATTTTTAACCGGGGTGGCAAAAACCCCCCCCAACCCCAGGTTTTTTTCCTGGGGGGGCAAACCCTCCCCCCCCCAGGTTATCCTGGGGGGCTAACCCTCCCAAACCAACAGGTTATCCTGGGGGGGTTTAAAACCCCCCTTTAAAACCACGGTTTTATCCTGGGGGGTTTAAAACTCTTTACCCCATTTTTACCCCTGGGGGGCTAACCCTCCCACCACGGGAAATCCTGGGGGGTTAACCCTCCCTATTTCCGGGGTTATCCTTGGTGGCTAAAACTTCCTCCCCCCTTGGGTTTAAAACCCTGGTGGCTAACATTTCCCCCCCCCCGGTTACCCCTGGTGGCTAACATTTCCCTCCCCCCGGGTTTAAACCTAGGTGGCAAACACTCCCTACCCCGGGTTATCCGGGAAATGGCTAACACCCCCCAACCCCGGGTTATCCGAGGGGGCTAACACTCCCTCCCCCCAGGTTATCCTGGGTGCAAACCCTCCCAAAACCCCAGGTTATCCTGGGTGGCAAACCCCTCCCACCCCTCGGGTTATCCTGGGGGGGCTAACCCCCCCTACCCCTTTTTAAACCCTTGGGGGTTTAACCCCCTCCCTACCCCGGGTTTAAAGGGTGGGGGGCCCTAACCCCCCCCACCCCGGGTTTAAACCCTGGGGGGCAAAACCCCTCCCCCCCCCCGGGGTTATCCTGGGGGGTTTAACCCTCTCAACCCAAAACCCCAGGTTATCCTGGGTGGCAAACCCTCCCAAAAAAAAAACCCCAAAAAAAAAAAAAGGTTTTTATCCGGGTGGTTTAAACCCCCCCCCTACCCCAGGTTATCCTGGGGGGAAAAACCCTCCCTACCCCAGGTTATCCTGGGTGGCTAATGTAGACAGCCTGTACTGTCTGCACAGACAGCCCATGCTGTCTGCCAGCTTAGATCATATTTCGCGCCACTCAGGTGCTGCCATCTATAGGCCTTGCCACTTCAGTATGCCCAGACTTGCCTCACCCTCACTCACACAGCGGCCTGGCATCAAGACACAAGGCCTCCCAGCTCTCTCTCGTGGGCATGGCCCTGCCCGGGCCATGGGCACAAACACACAAGCCTGTGTAACCCACCACTACTTAACAATAAAGTAAGAAGCCTCCGAAGAGATATATCATTCACACCCCGCTACCATACTACCAAACAACCCCGTTATAAATGGTGACATGACAGTGGTGCTCCGCAGCAGTTGTGTTTGCCTGGAGAGAAGGAGGAAGAGGTATGAAGTCATCTTCACTTCATCACCCTACACAAGAAGCATCCGTCTCTCAACGAGTTATCCTGATGTCGTGTCTGCACGTTTGAGCATCCAGACACAGGTACTAGCAGGATCCAGCTGAAATTTGCCGAAATTCTCCGAGAATTGTAAGTGGCGTCCCAGTGACCCCACGCTGTTTCTCAAGTCACGTGTTCAGCGTCACTTGTATGTTGCTGTTGTTGTTCAGCTCAGCCACAGCTGTTTTCAGCAAGCCAGAGGTGAGTTTTGTGGTGATTTCTGCGTCCAGTGTGAGCTTCTCCAGTGTTTGGGTGGAGGAGGAGGAGGAATGGTCAATGCCCGCCCTGCCATACACTCCCCGCACGCTCCTCGCCACCACACTACCAAAACACTCACCACTGCCCACTCCCTCTGCTGTGTTTTCTGCTGTTTTTCGTATGAATTCATTGCCAGTGCTGTGTATCCGAGTGCCCGAGGCCACTCGAAGCTACGTGGATCACGACGTCACGTGGGTGTGGCCGATGTCACGTAGACCTACAAAGCCACGTGAGTTACCAGATGTCCCAAGGCCACATGCTGTGGTCTGCTGCCTGCATCACATCGACGCCACCCACGATGCTGCCCGACTTCATGACGTCACGATGTCTGTTGACGTCACCTCACGATGTCTGCCTGACGTCACCTCGAGATGTCTGCTGACGTCACCCACGATGCTGCCCGACTTCATGACGTCACGATGTCTGCTGACGTCACCTCACGATGTCTGCCTGACGTCACCTCGAGATGTCTGTTGACGTCACTGCTGCTGACGTCACCTTGCGACATCACGCCTGACATCACATGATGTCACATCGAGTGTTCTAGTAATTCAGTATTGTCGAGAAGATTGAGAGAAGATATATGTCGTGTGTTAATTAATTCCTCTCAGTCAGTGTTCTCACATTTTAGTATATGTCTTAGTGTCAGTTTTATGCGCAGAAAAGCATCTTTTGCTAGTTTAAGCCATGTTGTACCGTATGTACAGCGGTGTGTTTGTAAAGTTTCCGTGTGTCCAGTGAGGTCTGAGCCAGCCAGACCTGAGTAGCACCTCTGTGCTAATTCACCCGTGTGACCCGTACGTTTGACAGCTGATTACTCAGCCCTGAGCGTATGAGCCCTCTTGTACAGAAAGCTTTTATGCTCGTCGCTCATGTTGTTCTGCAGAATCGTACCTGCTACGATTCCCATCGAGATTTGTTTCACTTCACCTCCAGACCGTCAGAGTGCAGTTATATGTAGAGAAACAAGTCTGGGGACGCTTAGGCTAACCTCTGCTATAACTCCAACTGTCGAGAGATGATACTCAGTCAAGCCGCAGCCAGCCCTGTCGGCAGGCGCTGTGTCAGCCTCGTGTCACAAGCTTCAGTGAGCAGCCTGCACAAAGATGATGTCACTTTGACTGCTAGCTCGCTCACTGCAGTCTGGTGTATGATGTTACGACTCCCAGATGTTTCGCCCAGTCGTCTCTGCCACGACTCGCTCCACAACTCGCTCCACGCTCGCCGGCAGTGACAGCCCAGCGACAGTACCAGTCAAGAAGTGTCCTCCTGAGTCGCTTGCCAGAAGTCCTGCCCAGTTGCCGAGTTTTGTCGACGCCTCACTCGAGGGCACCAGCATGTCGTGCCCTAGGTTGAGTGAAAACCTGCAGCGACTCCTACGATGTCTGCTTCACCGTTCCAGAGGAGACCGTACCCTGTTACGTCACAGCTCAGCCGCAGCGATGTCTCCCGTGTTGCAGTATCTGTCCAGACGCAGGAAGGCGTGCAGTGATGCCCTTCGACGCTCATTGCCTTTGACCACGATGTTTAGCACACCCACATGTTTTTTTCTTCCCTCCCTGTAGGAAGTTTTTTTCCATGTCCATATGTATATATATGTTTTTATTTTGTGTTCTGTGCCCCGTTCCTACGAGAGAGAGACCGAGTTTCTTTTACTACCAGTATTGTCGCGTCGGGACGACGCGTGGTAGGTGGCCGAGCGTATGTAGACAGCCTGTACTGTCTGCACAGACAGCCCATGCTGTCTGCCAGCTTAGATCATATTTCGCGCCACTCAGGTGCTGCCATCTATAGGCCTTGCCACTTCAGTATGCCCAGACTTGCCTCACCCTCACTCACACAGCGGCCTGGCATCAAGACACAAGGCCTCCCAGCTCTCTCTCGTGGGCATGGCCCTGCCCAGGCCATGGGCACAAACACACAAGCCTGTGTAACCCGCCACTACTTAACAATAAAGTAAGAAGCCTCCGAAGAGATATATCATTTACTACCCGCTACCAGAATACCAAAAAAACACCGTTATACTAACCCTCCCTACCACAGGTTATCCTGGGTGGTTAACCCTCCCTACCCCAGGTTATCCTGGGTGGCTAACACTCCCTACCCCTGGTTATCCTGGGTGGCTAACCCTCCCTACCACAGGTTATCCTGGGTGGTTAAGCCTCCCTACCCCAGGTTATCCTGGGTGGCTAACACTCCCTACCCCGGGTTATCCTGGGTGGCTAACACTCCCTACCCCGGGTTATCCTGGGTGGCTAACACTCCCTACCCCGGGTTATCCTGGGTGGCTAACCCTCCGGGGCTAAAAATCCAAACCAAATCTTGTGTGTTTCATTTCAGTACTGACCTTGTTAGCTTCGTCATAGGGAGTCTTGCCCAGGTTGTGCGCTCGATGTGGGTTGCCTCCCCACATCTTGTCAGCCGTCAGCATCAGGTAGCCGTCACGGTCGTAGCAACACTGTTGACCTGCACCGTCTTTACTGAGGGGTCAAAGTGGGTCATGTGGAGGTCAGTGAGGCACTACACTGACTCTCAATGGGAAGAAACAACTGACTGACGCATCGCTCTATTTTATACCGTACTTTCCGGCATATAAGGCGCACGAGCTTGTACAGCTGTGATTCCAAACAGTTGTAACGTAACGTAACTTTAATATAACGTAACGCTAATAAACAACTGCTAAAATGTAAACAAAAGTCCACCCTTGACCCTGATCTTGAGCTTATAAGACGCAGAATGATTTTCCAAGACTTTCATTGGTACAAAGCGCGCCTTATATGCCGGAACTCCAAGACTCTTGATCCAGAGAACTATGCTGCTTTGACTCTTACTTTACTTAAAGTCTCTACACTTTGATTTACTAACTTTGAATATTATCTTTGTAACTTTGAATACTGCAGAGGAAGGCGGGGAGGGAAGGGGTGGCACTCACTTGGGTAAGACAGCACGGACACAGGGGGGTGGCACTCACTTGGGCAAGACAGCACGGACACAGGGGGGTGGCATTCGCTTGGGCAAGACAGCACGGACACAGGGGGGTGGCACTCACTTGGGCAAGACAGTACGGACACAGGGGGGTGGCACTCACTTGGGCAAGACAGTACGGACACAGGGGGGTGGCACTCGCTTGGGCAAAACAGTACGGACACAGGGACGGGGGGAGTGATACTCACTTGGACAATGCATTACGGACAAAGGGGGATGGCACTCACTTAGCCAAGGCATTAAGGAGACAGGGGGTGGCACTCACTTGAGCAAGACATTACGGACACAGGGGGTGGCACTCACTTGGGCAAGACAGTATGGACACAGGGAGGGTGGCACTCACTTGAGCAAGACAGTACAGACACAGGAGGTGACACTCACTTGGGCAAGGCAGTAAGGACACAGGGGGGTGGTACTCACTTGGGCAAGGCAGTACGGACACAGGGGGTGGCACTCACTTGGGCAAAGCAGTACGGACACAGGGGGCTGGCACTCACTTGGGCAAAGCAGTACGGACACAGGGGGGTGGCACTCACTTGGGCAAAGCAGTACGGACACAGGGGGGTGGCACTCACTTGGGCAAGGCAGTACGGACACAGTGGATGGCACCAAAGTGATACTTGCACTCAGTGTTGCCATCACGGTCACAGGAGAAGTCTGGCAGGAACCTGCCCTTGTCTGCTGTGGCCTGTTTGAGCAGACACGGACACCGCTCCACCTGGTGAGCAGGCAAGCAGGGTGAGTAGGACGAGAGGGATGCGGAAATTAGACAGAGAGAGGATGAGGGACTAAAGTGAAAAAGGAAGGATTAAAAATAAGAAGGATGGCGTGATAGAAGGTAGAAGGAAGAGAGAATGAAATTAAAGAATGAAAGAATGAAGGAGGCATGACAACACTCGAGAATATTACAATAATCACAATAATGACAGGCAACACCCAGAAGATGAAGTTTGAAACACAGGTTCAACACCTGGGAATCTTGAGGCGTCTCGCCAACCAGATGTGATAATTATATAAGACACCCAGGTGTTGCAGGTATGTCTAACTCCTAAATATTACTATAATCATACAAAATAACTGCAATGGTATCTCCTTTGCACCAGAACATTACCAGACGGAAGTTCGAGCCTCCACTACTCCTTGCTCTGAATCACTCCCACATGAGAACTACGTAAATACATTCACAGTTTTCAAACTTGAATTATATCACAACAAACTTAGGCTGGGTGACTCACCTCGTAGGCAAAGTTCCTGAGGTTTCGATCGTTTTCGATCCATCTGTCGCACATAGCTATCTGCCAGTCGGTACCGTACAGCTGCTCCCACTGGTAGTGGAAGTACCATGCCAGGGGTATGGGTCGAGACCACACGATGCTGGAACAGTACGTGGCCAATTGTTAAATATTTTTAATAATAATAATAATAATAATAATAATAATAATAATAATAATAATAATAATAATAATAATAATAATAATAATAATACTTTTATATATTTTTTCCAACTCTGTTTCAAACCCCTGACCTAATCTCATTTATTCCTCTCCATTGAAACTCTCCCACCCCCTTCAGCTTTGTTTCACTTAAAGCCAGGACATCCAGCTTCTTCTCATTCATAACATCCACAATCATCTCTTTCTTATCATTTGCACAACATCCACGCACTTTCAGACTTCCCACTTTGACAATTTTCCTCTTATTCTTTTTAGTAATTATTACAGGAAAAGGGGTTACTAGCCCATTGTTCCCGGCATTTTAGTTGACTTTTACAACACGCATGGCTGACGGAGGAAAGATTCTTATTCCACTTCCCCATGGATATAAAAGGAAAAGTAATAAGATCAAGAACTATTAAGATAAAATCAAAGAAAACTCAGATGAGTGTGTATAAATAAACGTGTACATGTATGTGTAGTGTGACCTAAGTGTAAGTAGAAGTAGCAAGACATGCCTGTAATCTTGCATGTTTATGAGACAGACAAAAAAACACCAGCAATCCTACCATCATGTTAAACAATTAAAGGCTTTCGTTTTACACTCACTTGGCAGGACGGTAGTACCTCCCTGGGTGGTTGCTGTGTTGAATGATGATGAAAGTATTTTCTTTTTGGGGATTTTCTTTCTTTTTTGGGTCACCCTGCCTCGGTGGGAGACGGCCGACTTGTTGAAAAAAAAATAATATCTTTATTTCTACCAGTACATGTACAAGGTATACAGACCATAGCTGACATCAATGTTATACTACTATATAGAAAGTCACTTGTTATACAGAGCATTCCCCGTAAATTAGGTCAGTTTTTGTCCCAGGATGCGACCCATACCAGTCGACTTACACCCAGGTACCCATTTTTTACTGATGGGTGAACATAGACAACCGGTGTAAGGAAACACGCCTGAGAATCGCTGAGAATCGAACCCGGACGACACACCGTGTGAAACGAGAGCTTTAACCACCAGGCCACGGTACCTCGTGGCCTGGTGGCAAGATTTAATAAAATAACTTATGACAAGCCTGGTGCTCCTGGGTATGGGATCCCCTGCCTAACTTGGGGTAGGCGCCCATACTTGTATCTGGGGTCTGTCTGTGTGGCTAAAGTACTCTGATGCAGAGTGTGTAGGTTCGAATTGTGCTTTGGACTGAGAGATAATGTATGTAGAGAATTTCACCTGTTGGCGAATGCATAGCACTCTACCTAACAGTACTCTACCTCCTGCATGACACTCTACCACTCTGTTGTAGTGAGGAGACCAGCCTCTTGTTGTAGTGAGGAGACCAGCCTCTTGTTGTAGTGAGGAGACCAGCCTCTTGTTGTAGTGAGGAGACCAGCCTCTTGTTGTAGTGAGGAGACCAGCCTCTTGTTGTAGTGAGGAGACCAGCCTCTTGTTGTAGTGAGGAGACCAGCCTCTTGTTGTAGTGAGGAGACCAGCCTCTTGTTGTAGTGAGGAGACCAGCCTCTTGTTGTAGAGAAGGGACCAACCACATGTTTGGCAGTGGTCCGGTGGCCTGGTGGCTAAAGCTCCCGCTTCACACACGGAGGGCCCGGGTTCGATTCCCGGCGGGTGGAAACATTCGACATGTTTCCTTACACCTGTTGTCCTGTTCACCTAGCAGCAAATAGGTACCTGGGTGTTAGTCGACTGGTGTGGGTCGCATCCTGGGGGACAAGATTAAGGACCCAATGGAAATAAGTTAGACAGTCCTCGATGACGCACTGACTTTCTTGGGTTATCCTGGGTGGCTAACCCTCCGGGGTTAAAAATCCGAACGAAATCTTATCTTATCTTATCTTAACAGGTCTGAGACCAGTGTATAGGTAATATTATGTAGAAAATAAGGAAAGGTGGAAGCAAGAGTGTGAGTGTGTATAGAAGTGTGTAAAGTATAATTCAAAGATCGGAAAGTGGGTTTTTCAGATTGTTTGTGTATGTAGCAGGCATAGAGTAAGTTTACATGATTATTTAACTCTGAAGAAGATGGATAAATGTGTTAAAAAACGGTCTGAGGGTGTGTTACAAGGAGGGAACTTAGTAAGTGTAAATGATGGTAAGAAAGATGACACTCTGAAGGGTGAACAACGTCAGTGTCATGGCTGCAAGGAATCACAACTGAACTGTGAATTAAACACAGGTCGGGGAGGGAGCGAAATATCGTGTAGTTTCCATTTTCAGTCCTTGCATTAGCCGAGAGAGAATTAGACTTGAAGAAGTAGACACATGTGTAATATCTAGGTATATTTATTTGTAGACGTTCCGCCAGCACCGCAGTCTTCAAGACAACGCTACTCCTCACCAACTCCAAGACTGAGGTTCCGCCAGCACCGCAGTCTTCAAGACAACGCTACTCCTCACCAACTCCAAGACTGAGGTTCCGCCAGCACCGTAGTCTTCAAGACAACGCTACTCCTCACCAACTCCAAGACTGAGGTTCCGCCAGCACCGTAGTCTTCAAGACAACGCTACTCCTCACCAACTCCAAGACTGAGGTTCCGCCAGCACCGTAGTCTTCAAGACAACGCTACTCCTCACCAACTCCAAGACTGAGGTTCCGCCAGCACCGTAGTCTTCAAGACAACGCTACTCCTCACCAACTCCAAGACTGAGGTTCCGCCAGCACCGTAGTCTTCAAGACAACGCTACTCCTCACCAACTCCAAGACTGAGGTTCCGCCAGCACCGTACTCTTCAAGACAACGCTACTCCTCACCAACTCCAAGACTGAGGTTCCGCCAGCACCGTAGTCTTCAAGACAACGCTACTCCTCACCAACTCCAAGACTGAGGTTCCGCCAGCACCGCAGTCTTCAAGACAACGCTACTCCTCACCAACTCCAAGACTGAGGTTCCGCCAGCACCGCAGTCTTCAAGACAACGCTACTCCTCACCAACTCCAAGACTGAGGTTCCGCCAGCACTGTAGTCTTCAAGACAACGCTACTCCTCACCAACTCCAAGACTGAGGTTCCGCCAGCACCGCAGTCTTCAAGACAACGCTACTCCTCACCAACTCCAAGACTGAGGGACTGATTGTCTCATCTTTAGTATATAGTTCTACAGTCTTCCCATTATATCCTTGAATTTGTATTGATAAAGTCAGTGGATGGCGAAAACGTCTACAAATGAAGGTTGTGATGAATGGTTTGAAAAACCGACGAGTTGAAGATTGAGACACTTATGCAGCATAAGGTACCCGAATGTTGTACATGTGTCTAGTTCTCCATCTTGTCGGTACTGTCTACCATACATGTACAATATTACACTTGCACGAGGAAGACAAAATACAAAACTTGCTACAGTAAGCATATATATAACAACACTCTATGGAAACACGTAAATCACCATGATTTTTAATCATATTTTAGGAAAATCTTTGTAAGGTGATGCCTTGGCCCAAGAAATTCCAGCTGACCTCTCCTTTTTTTGGGTCAAACCTGTTTGCCTCCCATTCCCCAGGCGTTGTCTAAGACCTAAGGGTTTAGCGCATTCCCATGGATAAAAGAAGACTGTATACTTACGTAGACTGCTTGAGGCCGTACTGAGGCTCAGGTGTTGTCAGGTTCATCATAATAAGACCCATCTCCAGGTCAAGCTTGTCGAAGTTGTTGCGGTTAGCGTAGTCTGCCATGGTCAGTGTGTAGGACCCCGTGTTGGGAATACCATCCTGTCAGAGAGAACACTGCTGTGACCAGGTGTGATGGTAGTGGTGTGACCAGGTGATGATAATGATGTGGTTAGTGGTGGTAATGGTGTGACCAGGTGGTGATGGTAGTAGTGTAAGCAGGTGGTGATAATGGGGTTAGTGGTATGACCAGGTGGTGATGATGGTGGGGTTGGTGATGGTGGTGGTGTGACCAGGTGATGATGGTAGTGGTGTGACAAGGTGGTGATAATGATAGTGGTGTGACCAGGTGATGATGGTAGTGGTGTGACCAGGTGGTGATGGTAGTGGTGTGACCAGGTGGTGATGGTAGCAGTGTGACCAGGTGGTGATGTTAGTAGTGCTGGTGATGGAGGGAAGGGGTGTGTTACAGTGCTGGTGATGGAGGGAAGGGGATGATACAGTGCTGGTGATGGAGGGAAGGGGGTGTTACAGTGCTGGTGATGGAGGGAAGGGGGTGTTACAGTGCTGGTGATGGAGGGAAGGGGTGTTAGAGTGCTTGTGATGGAGGGAAGGGGGTTGATACAGTGCTGGTGATGGAGGGAAGGGGGTGTTACAGTGCTGGTGATGTAGGGAAGGGGGTGATACAGTGCTGGGTGATGGAGGGAAGGGGGTGTTACAGTGCTGGTGATGGAGGGAAGGGGGTGTTACAGTGCTGGTGATGGAGGGAAGGGGGTGATACAGTACTGGTGATGGAGGGAAGGGGGGTGATACAGTGCTGGGTGATGGAGGGAAGGGGTTGTTACAGTGCTGATGATGGAGGGAAGGGGGTGATACAGTGCTGGTGATAGAGGGAAGGGGTGATACAGTGCTGGTGATAGAGGGAAGGGGGTGATACAGTGCTGGTGATGGAGGGAAGGGGTGTTACAGTGCTGGTGATGGAGGGAAGGGGGGTGATACAGTATGGTGATGGAGGGAAGTGGGTGGATACAGTGCTGGTGATGGATGGGAAGGGGTGTTACAGTACTGGTGATGGAGGGAAGGGGGAAATTAATACAGTGCTGGTGATGGAGGAAAGGGGGTGTTACAGTGCTGGTGATGGAGGGAAGGGGGTGATACAGTGCTGGTGATGGAGGGAAGGGGTGTGTACAGTGCTGGTGATGGAGGGAAGGGGTGATACAGTGCTAGTGATGGAGGGAAGGGGTGATACAGTGCTGGTGATAGAGGGAAGGGGTGTTACAGTGCTGGTGATGGAGGGAAGGGGGTGTTACAGTTTGGTGATGGAGGGAAGGGGGTGATACAGTGCTGGTGATGGAGGGAAGGGGGTGTTACAGTGCTGGTGATGGAGGGAAGGGGGTGATACAGTGCTGGTGATGGAGGGAAGGGGTGATACTGTGCTGGTGATGGAGGGAAGGGGGTGATACAGTGCTGGTGATGAGGGAAGAGGGTTGTTACAGTGCTGGTGATGAAGGGAAGGTGGTGATACAGTGCTGGTGATGGAGGGAAGGGGGTTTGTTACAGTGCTGTTGATGGAGGGAGGAGAGAGATACAGTGCTGGTGATGGAGGGAAGGGGGTGATACAGTGCTGGTGATGGAGGGAAGGGGGTGATACAGTGCGGGTTTGATGGAGGGAAGGGGGTGATACAGTGCTGGTGATGGAGGGAAGGGGGTGATACAGTGCTGGTGATGGAGGGAAGGGGGTGATACAGTGCTGGTGATGGAGGGAAAGAGGGTGATACAGTGCTGGTGATGGAGGGAAGGGGTGTTACAGAGCTGGTGATGGAGGGAAGGGGGTGACATAGTGCTGGTGATGGAGGGAAGGGTGTTACAGAGCTGGTGATGGAGGGAAGGGGGTGATACAGTGCTGGTGATGGAGGGAAGGGGGTTTACAGTGCTGGTGATGGAGGGAAGGGGGTGATACAGTGCTGGTGATGGAGGGAAGGGGGTGACACAGTGCTGGTGATGGAGGGAAGGGGGTGATACAGTGCTGGTGATGGAGGGAAGGGGTGTGTTACAGTGCTGGTGATGGAGGGAAGGGGGTGATACAGTGCTGGTGATGGAGGGAAGGGGGTGATACAGTGCTGGTGATGGAGGGAAGAGGGTGTTACAGTGCTGGTGATGGAGGGAAGGGGGTGATACAGTGCTGGTGATGGAGGGAAGGGGGTGATACAGTGCTGGTGATGGAGGGAAGGGGGGTGATACAGTGCTGGTGATGGAGGGAAGAGGGTTGTTACAGTGCTGGTGATGGAGGGAAGAGGGTGTTACAGTGCTGGTGATGGAGGGAAGGGGGTGATACAGTGCTGGTGATGGAGGGAAGGGGTGATACAGTGCTGGTGATGGAGGGAAGGGGTGATACAGTGCTGGTGATGGAGGGAAAAGGGGGTGATACAGTGCTGGTGATGGAGGGAAGGGGGTGTTACAGTGCTGGTGATGGAGGGAAGGGGGTGATACAGTGCTGGTGATGGAGGGAAGGGGGTGATACAGTGCTGGTGATGGAGGGAAGGGGGTGGATACAGTGCTGGTGATGGAGGGAATGGGGTGATACATGCTTGGTGATGGAGGGAAGGGGGTGATACAGTGCTGGTGATGGAGGGAAGGGGGTGTTACAGTGCTGGTGATGGAGGGAAGGGGGTGTTTACAGTGCTGGTGATGGAGGGAAGGGGGTGATACAGTGCTGGTGATGGAGGGAAGGGTGTGTTACAGTGCTGATGATGGAGGGAAGGGAGTGATACAGTGCTGGTGATGGAGGAAGGGGGTGTTACAGTGCTGGTGATGGAGGGAAGGGGGTGATACAGTGCTGGTGATGGAGGGAACGGGGTGTGATACAGTGCTGGTGATGGAGGGAAGGGGGTGATACAGTGCTGGTGATGGAGGGAAGAGGGTGTTACAGTGCTGGTGATGGAGGGAAGGGGGTGATACAGTGCTGGTGATGGAGGGAAGGGGGTGTTACAGTGCTGGTGATTGGAGGGAGGGGGTGATACAGTGCTGGTGATGGAGGGAAGGGGGTGATACAGTGCTGGTGATGGAGGGAAGGGGTGATACAGTGCTGGTGATGGAGGGAAGGGGGGTGATACAGTGCTGGTGATGGAGGGAAGGGGGTGATACAGTGCTGGTGATGGAGGGAAGGGGGTGATACAGTGTGGTGATGGAGGGAAGGGGGGTGATACAGTGCTGGTGATGGAGGGAAGGGGGTGATACAGTGCTGGTGATGGAGGGAAGGGGTGTTACAGTGCTGGTGATGGAGGGAAGGGGGTGATACAGTACTGGTGATGGAGGGAAGGGGGTGATACAGTGCTGGTGATGGAGGGAAGGGGTGATACAGTGCTGGTGATGGAGGGAAGGGGGTGATACAGTGCTGGTGATGGAGGGAAGGGGGTGTTACAGTGCTGGTGATGGAGGGAAGGGGGTGATACAGTGCTGGTTGTGGGGGGGAAGGGGGTGATACAGTGCTGGTGATGGAGGGAAGGGGGTGATACAGTGCTGGTGATGGAGGGAAGGGGGTGATACAGTGCTGGTGATGGAGGGAAGGGGGTGATACAGTGCTGGTGATGGAGGGAAGGGGGTGATACAGTGCTGGAACACAAACACTCTGGTGGAAAGACAGATGAACTTGGAATGTTACAGTACACAGTGAATCTCTGAGGCACTCAGAGTCTAGGGAGTGCCACTGTCAGTCTAATCACCCTCAGATATCCTAGAACGCTGACCAAGTGCTCAATGATCAACCCCAACACTAACACACACATAAATCAATATAAATATTGATTTTTTTATCAAATTAATTGCTAACATTATTTTAGATAAAAGAAGACACGTTTTGTACTCTCTTGTTGATAGGAGTTATGGACAAATAATTGATAAAAATGGTGATAAAGATGACTGATAAAGTCCCTGGTAAACTTGTTAACAAATGTGCGTAACTGACATAGATGTCGATATATTTTACCAATGTTATACAGAGGTAATAATTTTTAATGGGATGGGGGGGGGGTAAGCCAGCGGAAGGCCTCGGTCAGATGACCGAAAGCTCCAACGGCAGGTCATCATATTACTAACACCCGCGTCAGGAAACACTTGTCCTGTTTCCTGACGAACCTAACATAACCTAAGTGAGGGACACCACACCAGCTGCTGCTCTCTTAGCGTCCACTGAGACACCACACCAGCTGCTGCTCTCTTAGCGTCCACTGAGGGACTCCACACCAGCTGCTGCTCTCTTAGCGTCCACTGAGGGACTCCACACCAGCCGCTGCTGCTCTCTTAGCGTCCACTGAGGGACTCCACACCAGCTGCTGCTGCTCTCTTAGCGTCCACTGAGGGACACCACACCAGCTGCTGCTCTCTTAGCGTCCACTGAGGGACTCCACACCAGCTGCTGCTGCTCTCTTAGCGTCCACTGAGGGACACCACACCAGCTGCTGCTCTCTTAGCGTCCACTGAGGGACTCCACACCAGCTGCTGCTGCTCTCTTAGCATGGAGGCTGGCGTCGGAGATGTCATGTATTTAAGCTAAGTTTTGTAGCTGTGTACTCCTTTTGTTTAGCTAACTCAAGCCATAGGCTCTTCTGTGGTTTAGCTGTATGTTCACCCAGGCTCTGACATGGTCAGGATGATCTGTGTATATAGTGTTATAGTTGAATAAATAGATATATTTTGCTAACTAGGAGTTTTGCCTAACCCTCGGTTAACCAACACATTGAAATACAAATGCTGGTTTAGCGTTTTCTGTTTTGACTGGGATAGCCCTGGGTGGCCTGTTTGTGCCTGAGTGGTGTGTAGCTTTTACCGTCGCCCTTAGACAAGGCTCTAGCTCCAGGTATCCCAGCCGTATAGCCCTTGTGGCTTAGCGCTTCTTTTTGATTATAATAATTATCCAGGTATCCCACATTTCTGCGTAATATGGAGGACAAGCAATAATAACACCAGTATCTACACTCAGATGTAAACAAGACCACCAGGACGACACAAACACCTGACAGAGTAAACATCTTAACTCACCACCAGGACGACACAAACACCTGACAGAGTGAACATCTTAACTCACCACCAGGACGACACAAACACCTGACAGAGTGAACATCTTAACTCACCACCAGGACGACACAAACACCTGACAGAGTGAACATCTTAACTCACCACCAGGACGACACAAACACCTGACAGAGTGAACAACTTATCTCACCACCAGGACGACACAAACACCTGACAGAGTGAACATCTTAACTCACCACCAGGACGACACAAACACCTGACAGAGTGAACATCTTAACTCACCACCAGGACGACACAAACACCTGACAGAGTGAACATCTTAACTCACCACCAGGACGACACACAAACACCTGACAGAGTGAACAACTTATCTCACCACCAGGACGACACAAACACCTAACAGAGTGAATAACTTATCTCACCACCAGAGTGTCGATATATATAAGTTCTGGTCTGATGCTAATCTCTCTGTAACCCCAAAGTGACATGACCACCGGAGCGTTCCTGTTCATGGTGAGGTTTCCTGCCAGCCAGTTGATTTCCAGTGACATAGGTGAGTGTTGTTGATAGTTGTCATCTTTGAACCACACTCCCTCTGGTGCTGTCAGCGGGGTCTCTGATGGCAAAAAAAAAAAAAATAAACCCATTTCAGCCATGAGTGAAAAACGAAAAACTGTGAAACGTTATGAACTCTGATAGGAGTGTTAGTCTTTCATTTCTCTTTAGTGAACATCTAAGACTGTGCAGCATAATATAAATGAGACCTAACGATATATAAAGCTGAAGAACAGACTGAGAATTCAAGTTGTTTATACTTCTTGACTTCAAGCCAAAAAAGTCTATTCGCTTTATTGCAAGCTCTTATGCACTGTTGTCATGATTGTAGATTACTGCTAACCAGAACTCCTAAATCTTTCTTGCAATCAAAGTGTTTAAGATCTATATTATTTAGCTTTTCAGTAAAGTGTTATTTTCCTTTCCAACGCTTAGAACTTTGTATTTGTCTATGTTAAACTGCATCTGCCACGTCTCCGACCACTGTTCAGATTTTCCAGGAGCACTCTAGTGTCCTCGTCAGAATTAATTCGACGGCCTATTTTGGTGTCATCGGCAAACTTGCAGTGTTGGATCCCTTGTTGTGAACAACATAATCTTACTGGTATGTACCTGAAAGAAACCTTTTGGGTTAATCCTAGAATTCCTTATGAGTTTAACCTCGTAATCTCTTTTTGTTTGTCTTATTATTTCTTATTTCTCTTTTTAATTGAAAATATTGATTTCTTAACTGCCTTTCTTCCCTTTTGATTCTCCTGTAAATATCTCTCCTAACCTATCAGATGCTTCAGTTCATTGTTTATCCATTTAGGGTATTTTTTTTTAATCTAATTTCCCTATTTGGAAAAAAAAAGTAGTCTGGGCAGCTAGAACTATGCTTTGAAAAATGTCATATTGGCAACCATCACCACCTACCTGACCCACAGTCAGGTCACCTTCTGTGCTACCTTAATCTGAATTTATTTGCCGGCCAACTTTTGTGTCATCAGTGAATGTATCATGTGGGAGTTCGAACACGTGGACTTGGGTAAAGAAATACTCACGTAGGCTGGTAGTACGTATAATTACAGATAATGTGTGTAACGCCCTTACAGCCGTACCTATCTCTCTGCTCTCTCTCGTAACACTGACTGACTGGCCGCCCACAGTACCCATATGTGAGAGGGTCTTTGAATAGTGCCAGGTCAGCCCAATATGAATAGACAGTGACTCAGGCAGAGACGGTTGGTCGTGAGTCAACTGGTACAGTGGTTACTGGTAACTGGTTACTATTACTGAGAAATGCGCTCATGTCCCTTTGTATTCCGTCATCAAGGTCATTGATAAAGGTTACGGAAATGACGGGGCCAAAAGCAATCATTGTCAAACGCCACTTATGACTGGTCCTCATTCAGATTTCACATTTTATGTAAGTAAGTTTATTCAGGTATACACAAATACAGTTACATAGAATTATCATACATAGCAGCATATGTTTAGAGAACCTAGGATAACCCAAAAAAGTCAGACAGAGTGAATTATTTCCATTGGGGTCCTTTGTAAACTTCATGGTGCGTATTTGTCAGTCATACCTCAGTCAGTGAGAGAATGTTTCTTCCTGTGTCATGTGCTGCCACTTTCTTCAGCAGTCTTGTGTGTGTAACGCTGTCAGAAGTCTGACTGACATCCAAGCAGACAACATCGTATTCATCGTGACACAGTACCTTAAATGCCTTACTACAGAAACTCAGTAAATTTGCAAAGCATAAACACCCCGGGGTGCATCCCTGCTGAGACTCGTTGATCAAATTATGTCTATCAAGGTGGTTCTTAGCCATTATCCACTATTGTGGATTCTAATAGTTTCCCCACTACTGATGTCAAGCTGACTGAGTGGTAATTTGAGGGAGGGATTTATTTTCTATTTGATATATAGGAAACCTCTCCTTTTGTAGGTAGGTGTCTCTTGTTTTATAGATAGGTATCTCTCGTTTTGTAGATAGGAACCCTTTCCTTTTGTAGATAGGCATCTTTCGTTTTGTAGCTACAAATCTGTAGACAGCTTGTGTTGAAGGTATCTTGTCATAACAAAACTGTTGGCACAACAAAAGAGGTAAACTATGTAATTTATTACCTAGAGAGAGAGACAGAAAAAGAGAGAGAGAGCTCACTAACACAAGTATACTCACCGACAAAGAACTTGCCCCGCCAGTAGTAGGGTCCACCGTTGATGGAGATGGAGAACTCGACGTAGCCCGAGACGAGGAGTCTAGGCATGATGCAGCTGGCACGGTTGTCGTCCGTTATGTGGCCTTCGACGGCAGTGGTGTCGAACTGACAAGTGAGGCGATAACCCGTCTTGAAGCAGGGACCCGTCAGGTTGACCAGCGTACCTCCCAGCATGTTACCTTGCTCCGGCGAGAACGTCAGGGGATACTCCTTCAGTTCTGACACACACAAGGTAAACTCTCATTACTAAGCCTTTGGCACACACAAGGTAAACTCTTATTATTGTACCTTTGACACGCAAGGTAAACTTTTATTACTGTATCTTCGACACACAAGATAAACTCCTCTCATTATTCTTCCTTTAAGCTGTAAAGTCTTTGGTAAAAATGTCAGGATATCTTATTAATGAAAGTAGGACACCAGACATGTTAAGCAGATATCTTAAATTTGCTTTCAGCAGATAAATCAACTGTATTTATAAATCCAGATGTATTCCTGTTAACTCCTTTAGCACTACCGTCCACAGGATGGATCTGGAATGCACAATAAACTAGCCGCTTCGGCGGCAAAATCTTTATCTTATTTCACAATAACCCACCTTCCTCTCTCCTGCAGCATCCAGCCAGGATCTTCTCGTCAATCCTGAAGATGTGTCGTCCTGGGAAGCCATTAGCGTTACCGGCCACTGCCAGGTCTCTGATGTACATCTTCTGGCTGTAAGGTGTGTACTCGTAGGAGCGGGTCCCGTTACCTGCATTGAAGCCAACCTGGAGAGGAAAGACTCAGGTAAGAGCATAAGAGAGGAACACTAAAGTAAGTCTATTGCTTAGTGCCAAGCAGCTTCTACACACACACACACACACACACACATAAAACTTACATTTTTGTCTAAATTTATTTTGAAAGCTACCCAGGTAGCCTCCTCGTGCCTTTTATACTGCAGCCCACAACAAAGGTACGGTTGATCACTCACAAGTACAGTGTCAGAAATGAAAGAAACGGTGAGTGTATATTATGGTAAATTCTAAAAGATATAAAATGAGATTTTACAGTATCATGAAGGAGCAAATATGTGTAAGATAACTGTAGAGATGAGAAATTAGACATATGTACAACATCTAGGTATCTATATTTGTAGACGTTTCGCCACACAGTGGCTTCCTCAGTCCAGTACAGAGAAGAATGGTTGAAGCTCAGGAGTTTGAGGTAATCATTCCCTCAGCCTGGATGCTCTTCAGAAACGAGGGTCTCCGAAGAGGGTCTCTCTCTTACTGAAGCCTAAATGTACAGATATCTTTCCACTTGTGTTTTAATTATCTGTCCATGTGATTTCTCAATATTCATAGGGTGACAAGTTTGACATTATGTTTCACACAATGACTGTTGGATGCAAATATGAAGTAACAGAACTCTTTATTCTCTAGGACTAATAAGAGAGGTAGGAGAGAGGCTTGGGTTAGGATACTCACATAGGCTGGAACTCCTCCCTGGCCTTCGTCAGTAGAGCCACCAGCTTCAGTATGTGAGGTCCACTTCATATACTCGTAGTTGAAGAAGGAATAAGTCCTGATCTCGTCAGTGGCCACCACCAGCTGGAAGGTGTTAGTCTGCGCCCGGGACAAACACACAAGACAACAATACATCAGTTTAAGCTTTAAAAGGCAGAAAAAATGGCGACAGTCATGGCATTACTAAGGCAGCAGCAACAATCATCAACCTGCACAAGTTAAGACTCACTACACAACTTTATGAATGACATAACTTAACATATAACTCAGTATAAAGCTACAACATACTTATATAACCCGGACAACTCATAGTAAGACTTCGTGTCTCCAGAACAAAAATAAAAATCTCAAAGACTGAGAGGTCTTGCTAAGACAGTGTGAAGAACACTTCCATATTTAAAATAATTGTTAGTTGTGTCCACAGTGTCTTGTTAACATACGTGGGAGCAGAGCTGCCTCTCCCACTACAATGTTAGTGTCCACAGTGTCTTGTTGACATACGTGGGAGCAGAGCTGCCTCTCCCACTACAATGTTAGTGTCCACACTGTCTTGTTAACATACGTGGGAGCAGAGCTGCCTCTCCCACTACAATGTTAGTGTCCACACTGTCTTGTTAACATACGTGGGAGCAGAGCTGCCTCTCCCACTACAATGTTAGTGCCCACAGTGTCTTGTTGACATACGTGGGAGCAGAGCTGCCTCTCCCACTACAATGTTAGTGTCCACAGTGTCTTGTTGACATACGTGGGAGCAGAGCTGCCTCTCCCACTACAATGTTAGTGTCCACAGTGTCTTGTTGACATACGTGGGAGCAGAGCTGCCTCTCCCACTACAATGTTAGTGTCCACACTGTCTTGTTAACATACGTGGGAGCAGAGCTGCCTCTCCCACTACAATGTTAGTGTCCACAGTGTCTTGTTAACATACGTGGGAGCAGAGCTGCCCCTCCCCCTACAATGTTAGTCTCCACAGTGTCTTGTTAACATACGTGGGAGCAGAGCTGCCTCTCCCACTACAATGTTAGTGCCCACAGTGTCTTGTTAACATACGTGGGAGCAGAGCTGCCTCTCCCACTACAATGTTAGTGTCCACAGTGTCTTGTTAACATACGTGGGAGCAGAGCTGCCTCTCCCACTACAATGTTAGTGCCCACAGTGTCTTGTTAACATACGTGGGAGCAGAGCTGCCTCTCCCACTACAATGTTAGTGTCCACAGTGTCTTGTTAACATACGTGGGAGCAGAGCTGCCTCTCCCACTACAATGTTAGTGTCCACAGTGTCTTGTTAACATACGTGGGAGCAGAGCTGCCCCTCCCACTACAATGTTAGTCTCCACACTGTCTTGTTAACATACGTGGGAGCAGAGCTGCCCTCTCCACTACAATGTTAGTCCCACACTGTCTTGTTAACATACGTGGGAGCAGAGCTGCCTCTCCCACTACAATGTTAGTGTCCACACTGTCTTGTTAACATACGTGGGAGCAGAGCTGCCCCTCCCACTACAATGTTAGTCTCCACACTGTCTTGTTAACATACGTGGGAGCAGAGCTGCCTCTCCCACTACAATGTTAGTCTCCACACTGTCTTGTTAACATACGTGGGAGCAGAGCTGCCTCTCCCACTACAATGTTAGTGTCCACACTGTCTTGTTAACATACGTGGGAGCAGAGCTGCCTCTCCCACTACAATGTTAGTGCCCACAGTGTCTTGTTAACATACGTGGGAGCAGAGCTCCCTCTCCCACTACAATGTTAGTGTCCACAGTGACTTGTTAACATACGTGGGAGCAGAGCTGCCCCTCCCACTACAATGTTAGTCTCCACACTGTCTTGTTAACATACGTGGGAGCAGAGCTGCCTCTCCCACTACAATGTTAGTCTCCACACTGTCTTGTTAACATACGTGGGAGCAGAGCTGCCTCTCCCACTACAATGTTAGTGTCCACACTGTCTTGTTAACATACGTGGGAGCAGAGCTGCCCCACCCACTACAATGTTAGTCTCCACACTGTCTTGTTAACATACGTGGGAGCAGAGCTGCCTCTCCCACTACAATGTTAGTCTCCACACTGTCTTGTTAACATACGTGGGAGCAGAGCTGCCTCTCCCACTACAATGTTAGTGTCCACACTGTCTTGTTAACATACGTGGGAGCAGAGCTGCCTCTCCCACTACAATGTTAGTGTCCACAGTGTCTTGTTAACATACGTGGGAGCAGAGCTGCCTCTCCCACTACAATGTTAGTGTCCACAGTGTCTTGTTAACATACGTGGGAGCAGAGCTGCCCCTCCCACTACAATGTTAGTGTCTACAGTGTCTTGTTAACATACGTGGGAGCAGAGCTGCCTCTCCCACTACAATGTTAGTGTCCACACTGTCTTGTTAACATACGTGGGAGCAGAGCTGCCTCTCCCACTACAATGTTAGTGCCCACAGTGTCTTGTTAACATACGTGGGAGCAGAGCTGCCTCTCCCACTACAATGTTAGTCTCCACACTGTCTTGTTAACATACGTGGGAGCAGAGCTGCCTCTCCCACTACAATGTTAGTGTCCACAGTGTCTTGTTAACATACGTGGGAGCAGAGCTGCTCTTCCCACATACAATGTTAGTGCCCACAGTGTCTTGTTAACATAGTGGGAGCAGAGCTGCCTCTCCCACACAATGTTAGTGTCCACATGTCTTGTTAACGTTCTTGGAGCAGAGCTGCCTCTTCCACTACTATGTTAGTGCCCACAGTGTCTTGTTTAACATACGTGGGAGCAGAGCTGCCCTCTCCACTAAAATGTTAGTGCCCACAGTGTCTTGATGAACCTACGTGGGAGCAGAGCTGCCTCTCCCACTACAATGTTATGTCCACCAGTGTCTTGTTGACATACGTGGGAGCAGAGCTGCCTCTCTTCTACTACAATGTTAGTGCCCATAGTGTCTTGTTGACATACGTGGAGCAGAGCTGCCCTCCCACTACAATGTTAGTGCCCACAGTGGTCTTAGTTAACATACGTGGGAGCAGAGCTGCCTCTCCACTACAATGTTAGTGCCCACAGTGTCTTGTTAACATACGTGGGTGCAGAGCTCCTCTCCCAACTACAATGTTAGTGTCCCACAGTGTCTTGTTACATACGTGGGAGCAGAGCTGCCTCTCCCACTACAATGTTAGTGTCCACAGTTGTCCTTGTTAACATACTGGGAGCAGAGCTCCTCTCCCACTACAATGTTAGTGCCCCACAGTGTCTTGTTGACATACTTGGGAGCAGAGCTGCCTCTCCCACTACAATTTAGTGTCCACAGTGTCTTGTTGACATACGTGGGAGCAAAAGCTTGCCCCTTTTCCCACTACAATGTTAGTTGTCCACAGTGGTCTTGTTGACATACGTGGGAGCAGAGCTGCCTCTCCCACTACAATGTTAGTGTCCACAGTGTCTTGTTGACATACGGGGGGAGCAGAGCTGCCTCTCCCACTACAATGTTAGTGCCCACATGTCTTGTTGACATACGTGGGAGCAAGCTGCCTCTCCCACTACAATGTTGTGTCCACAGTGTCTTGTTGACATACCTAGGAGCAGAGCTGCCTCTCCCACTACAAATGTTTAGTTCCACAGTGTTCTTGTTGACATACGTGGGAGCAGAGCTCCCTCCCCTCACTACAAGTTAGTGTCCCACAGTGTCTTGTTGACAATACGTGGGAGCAGAGCTGCCTCTCCCACTACAATGTTATGCCCCACAGTGTCTTGTTGACATACGGGGGAGCCAAGCGCCTCCCCCACTACAATGTTAGTGTCCACAGTGTCTTGTTGACATCCCTAGGAGCAGAGCTGCCTCTCCCACTACAATGTTAGTGTCCACAGTGCCCTTGTTGACATACGTGGGAGCAGAGCTGCCTCTCCCACTACAATGTAGTGCCCACAGTGTCTTTTAACATACGTGGTGAGCAAGCTGCCTCTCACCCACTACAATGTTAGTCTCCACACTGTCTTGTTAACATACGTGGGAGCAGAGCTGCCTCTCCCACTACAATGTTAGTGTCCACAGTGTCTTGTTAACATACGTGGGAGCAGAGCTGCCTCTCCCACTACAATGTTAGTGCCCACAGTGTCTTGTTAACATACGTGGGAGCAGAGCTGCCTCTCCCACTACAATGTTAGTGTCCACAGTGTCTTGTTAACATACGTGGGAGCAGAGCTGCCTCTTCCACTACAATGTTAGTGCCCACAGTGTCTTGTTAACATACGTGGGAGCAGAGCTGCCTCTCCCACTAAAATGTTAGTGCCCACAGTGTCTTGTTGACATACGTGGGAGCAGAGCTGCCTCTCCCACTACAATGTTAGTGTCCACAGTGTCTTGTTGACATACGTGGGAGCAGAGCTGCCTCTCTCACTACAATGTTAGTGCCCATAGTGTCTTGTTGACATACGTGGGAGCAGAGCTGCCTCTCCCACTACAATGTTAGTGCCCACAGTGTCTTGTTAACATACGTGGGAGCAGAGCTGCCTCTCCCACTACAATGTTAGTGCCCACAGTGTCTTGTTAACATACGTGGGAGCAGAGCTGCCTCTCCCACTACAATGTTAGTGTCCACAGTGTCTTGTTGACATACGTGGGAGCAGAGCTGCCTCTCCCACTACAATGTTAGTGTCCACAGTGTCTTGTTAACATACGTGGGTGGGAGCAGAGCTCCCTCTCCCACTACAATGTTAGTGTCCACAGTGTCTTGTTGACATACTTGGGAGCAGAGCTGCCTCTCCCACTACAATGTTAGTGTCCACAGTGTCTTGTTGACATACGTGGGAGCAGAGCTGCCTCTCCCACTACAATGTTAGTGTCCACAGTGTCTTGTTGACATACGTGGGAGCAGAGCTGCCTCTCCCACTACAATGTTAGTGTCCACAGTGTCTTGTTGACATACGTGGGAGCAGAGCTGCCTCTCCCACTACAATGTTAGTGCCCACAGTGTCTTGTTGACATACGTGGGAGCAGAGCTGCCTCTCCCACTACAATGTTAGTGTCCACAGTGTCTTGTTGACATACCTAGGAGCAGAGCTGCCTCTCCCACTACAATGTTAGTGTCCACAGTGTCTTGTTGACATACGTGGGAGCAGA